GTGTGCTCTTCCTGTTTTAAACGAAAAAATTTTGATTTTATGTAGATAAAATCAAAATTTTTTCGTTTAAAACAGAATTTTTATAAAATAAACTCTTTTGACTGCAGCTACTTCTTATTAGTTTCCATTTATATATAAAAATTATTTATCTACATAAAATCAAAATTTTTTCGTTTAAAACAGAATTTTTATAAAATAAACTCTTTTGACTGCATAGTATTCAACATAAATGGAAGCTAATAAGAAATAGCTGCAGTCAAAAGAGTTTATTTTATAACAATTTTGTTTTAATCGAAAAAATTTTTATAAAATATATTCTTTTGACTGCAGCTATTTCTTATTAGCTTCCATTTATGTTGAATACATAACATTACGTTGTATAAAAATCATTTGTTGAGAAAAGATTTTTTGTCCGACTCAAGAGACATATCGTATGTACAATAATATACGCGAATACCTTAATTCACCATTACCTAATTCAGCACTAGGTCACTCCGCTTTCTCGACAGGAATACACCGATATTAAAAATAAGATCACCAGTTGCAGAATACGTTGACAGTGTCATCTCGCGCTCGCGTATATTGGTCCCGCATGTTGATCCCGGAAAGCAGCCTGCGATTATGGCAAGTCTGTTAAGGGAACTTGCGGCAACTTCCATGACAACCCTGTCACGTATAAAGTAAAGTTCATGAAGTGCTGATAATTCCGAACTAGTCCGATCAAAATGTAACGGTTACGTTAATGCATTTAATGCTTGCGAACCGCTTTCTCTCTCGTGACACATGTCCGTGAAGATGTCTGCCGAGTGTGTGTGTGTGTATGTGTGTGTGCGCGCGCGGTGCGCGATAATACCACCACGTAAACTGATCGATATTCGCGTGCACGTAGACGTAGAGGTGAATATTATATGTAGACGCAGTCGGACTCTCCGGATTAAACTTATAGAATCCCGAGTCTCGGGAAGATACGCGAGTAGACATAGCTTGGGGAGGGAGGGAGAGAGAGAGAGAGAGAGAGAGAGAGAGAGAGAGAGAGAGCACCTCGGGACGATAATAAAATTGTTGAATCGAGTACGAAGTAGTGCTTAAAAGCGGCCACGTTTATTCAAGCTCGAGCTCCCGCGGCGCTCATCGCCGTATATTTTGTTTCAAAAAGAGATTAATTCTCGCCACTCTTCGAAACGTTGCAGTCGGTATACATATCATGTGTTACGTTTCCTGAAATAGTCGCGGCAAAATATTCATACTCTTTTTGAAGATTATACACCGGGCGCGTTTTATGCGAAATTATATTTCACGTACGAAAGTTCATGTTATATTTATACAAGGATTGAAATTCCTACAATTTGCGTTTAATGAATTCGCGAGTCCGGACTGTACACGCGAAAATGATATTTACGTTTATTTTCTCCCGTGATTCCGCAAATATAAGAGATTATGAGTTAAAATGCCGCGAATACTCATAATTCCTCGTAATTCCTAATATTTAATTTAGAGCTACAGGGTTGGATCAGCACGTAAACTAATAAAATTTAAGCTTCCGGCTATCGAGAATTTCCACTGAATATTTTTATTTAAGAATAATATTCATTGTTTTTCTATAGTTATACAGAGAACGTATATATTTTTAAATATCTTTTAACTGGCCTATTAAAATTATGCTGCCTGAAACAATTAAGGATGAATTATTTTTCTGTAAACAATTTTACAAGACAAACGACGATATAGCTAAAATATTGCACATTTATCATTGACGTCTACGTTATTTATTAATTAAAGAAATGGACATTTATTGAAGTAATTCCCCTTCTAAAATGTTATGAGCGACTCGTTAAATCGAAAATGCGAAAGATCACCGTTCGCCTTCGAGGGGGTGAAGAGATGAGCTCTCTCTCTCGCGTTCGGTGGCTGAAAAGCGGTCAAAGCATCGTGACATCGCGCACGGAAAAGTGGAAAGTGGCTGATTAATTGTCGATGAGGAGAGAGAAAGGGATGGCGAGCGAGAGAGACAGAGAGGAAGAGATGGAGAGCAGGGACCGAGAGCGAGAGAGGAATGACAAGAGGAGAACGGAAGCGCGGCGGCGGAGCGCGCCTGCGCGTCGTACTCGGGAGCGCTTGTTATGGAGGCCTCAGTCTCGGCTCGCCTGGGCAGTAGGCAACACGGCCGACGCCGAAGCACCGCGCCAAGTATCCGACCGGGGAGCCCCGGGGACGTTCTAAAGATAGAAAAGCGCGCGCCGCCGATGCGCTTCGCGCCGCGCTACCACGACGAGAAGCGCGTCTCCTCCGCGCGACGACGCGGCGACGCGGGCTTCCACCGTGCGACGACGATGAGGAGGTATCGCGCGTGACCGCGGAGGTACCGAGGCGAACGATCGAACGCGACGATCGAGAGAACGCGCGCGGTGTCAAGGAAGGCGAATAAAGGGCGGCTCGAAAGCGACGCTCTCGAGAGCGCGGATCTCTCTCTGATATCGCGAACGGTGGTTGCGTATACGTGTCGCGCGAAGAAACGCGGATGACAGACGAGCGCGAATCGATCGCTCGAGAGGCGACACGCGAGTGGAGCACAAGTGACGATGAGGGTGACCACTCGATCCGCCGCTCGATGCTCGCTCGGGCGATTCGCTGGGAATCGCCGTGTAATTTCGCGATTAATAGGTTTAGGCGAGATCCGCGAGAAGAATCTGCTCGGCCGCGTTTCTCTCACACCGCGGTTCTTGCTTCTTCTCAGCCAGCCGCTTCGCGAATCGTCTCGCGATTCGGTCGCTGATCCCCCGACAGGAACGGAACGGAGCTTGGGAATGTCGGGATATATAACGTTATCCCGTATAGATAACGTTGTCCCGCAACGGAAATTGATAGAGACGCGAGTTCAGTGATATATCGCGACAACGTGCTGGCGCGTCGCATTGCTGGAAAAGCGCGTGACGGGAATTCGCAGGCTTATTCGCGGGGCGAAGTGGGATTTCGCCCCGTAAGCTGTTTGTCTTCCAATATAGTGGCGCATTTGTTTGTTCTTCTCTTGATTCCTCGGTATAAATGCGTTCAAGGCTGAACGGAATCGACCGCTATTTCTCACGTTGGCGTTAGTCAAACGGGGCAGCATTTGCGAAATCGGCGCGTACGCGATACGGCGGCGTTTTCCGAAACCGTATCGCGAGTAATTTCACGTTGGATGTTTACTTGATAGCAATCACGTTTATACACGACGGTTGTGGTTTGTTTGTGCAAACCATGTAATTCGATTTAAAAGCATACGGATGTGGAATTATTATATTGTTAATATCTCGCATTAATACGCGCGGCACGAAAACATAATAGGTATAATTTGCACGGCGTTTTCCTTTCTTTTTTTATCTACGGATTCTTTAATTAATTCTCAAAGTATGATTATTTTAAGAAACATATCGTAAAGTTAACAAATTCTAACTCATAAATTATTCAAATTATTAAAAACTTTTACGGTATAATTTATAATGTATTTATATAAATAGAAATAATGGGAAAGGTATATTTGTCAATTAACTGCAAGATTAAAAGATTGTGGAAAAAAACCGTTCAATAAAATAATAAGAGAAAAGAAAATCTATTCTCTCCCGAAGAGTCTATAGATAAAAGGAAGGTCAGGTGTCTAGTGCGTCAGATGTAATGCTGTCTCAAACTCACGCCTGTAATCTTCAAGACGAAATATCTAATTCATTGTCCACTTGATCTAAATTTCGATGAATTATTCCGGATAATTAAATGGGGTAAAGATATATAATATAATATTTCAGTGAGCTTTTGAGTTTCTGTGAATACATTGCGAAATACTGGCGACAAGACAATGTCGCCGTGTCGATTGGATCAATTTCGGATTTGCAACGATTCGATTTATCGTATAATTCCCGCGGGTCTCATTCTCTCCGTGATGCATCGATTCTGACTCTAGCGATAATGCTTATCCAACGTGTCGCCGTTTTTATTGCAACTCTATCGTTTTTCGCAAAGAAAAATGGAATCATGGCATAATCATCATTAATAGATAAATCGCACTATTTTATATTCAATCATTTTTTCCAACAAATACGAAAATCCGTATTTCCATCGTACATTTATCGCTATGTAGGTGCCTGATGCTTATCCCATATTGATGATGTTGTTGACACGGTCTTTATCAACCCTTATCGTAACATCGCTATTACTTGAGCCGACGAAATTAGATCAAAATGACGCCAGCTGGTGTCGAATACTTTTTCGATAGGAGACGAACAAACGTATATTTTTTATACTAGAAAAACATACACAAATATTAATTAATTTAAAGAAATATTTTTTCTAAAAAAATGGCAAATGCATACGATAATTGAATTTATTCAATTATCTTCTGTTTACAGAAATATAAAAAATATATATTCACTGATTCTTATTTTATCGTATACATTGATCCAAGAAAGAAAAACAAAATTATACGTTTACATTTACATAACAATCACATAAATAATCAAAACTTTGAAATATAACTCGATACAGTTACACGCGAACGTACTAGGTAGTAGATACTCTTATGTTAGCCTGGCATACGGTTGTAAAAGTCGGGCAATAAGGGCCGACATTTACTGGCATCATATTGCTGCCGCGATGGACTGCTTTCGCTCTGGTGAGACGCTACCCTACACTTTTTGCATCGGGGAACTTCGAAAGCCATCTAAGTTATCCGCGTTACACCCGATGCGCGCTTCTTACGTTCCACCCGCTCAAACTTTATTGGCGATGCTTATCAACGCCGCGATACGCTCGGCGTTTTCACGAGGACGGACAACTCGAACGTAAAGTTACCGGTGTATATACAAGCCCCAACGGGACCGGCGCGCGGCGGCGGCGCACGGGGGAGGAAGTCTCCCCTTTCCGGTTACACCCGGCTGCCTTATAACGCTTTCATCTACTTATCGTCTCTCTCTCTCTCTCTCTCTCTCTCTCTCTCTCTCTCTCGCTCTCTCTCGCTCTCTCGCTCTCGCTCTCGCTCTCTGTACAACCTCCGTTATCGTTTGCTCTTCGCACGTTTCTTCAACACGCTTTCACCTATTCGACGTCGAGAACGGAGAGCAATGACGCAGATGAGTTTTGGTCGCCTCTCCCCCAGATCCCTCAAAACTCCTCCATCAATGTCGCCGGAATTCCGCGCCTCGCCGCCTTCGATTCTTTCGTTTCTTCCGCTCGAAGGCGCTCCACGTCCAACTCTCCGCTCGAGATTTGTCGGTTGAGATTTCTCTTTTGTCCCTTTGCTCCGCAGCTGATCCAGTTTGATACCGCCATTACGCTAATTGAAGTGCCATGCCGTCCGACATTGTCGTCGCATTGACGATGAAACTTCGGAAGTCTTCGCGAACGACTGAACGGATATCGAAGATGTCCTTTTGCCAGGAAAATACGACTTAAAAGTGAAATGACGATGTCCGGTATTATTTTTGCGAATAGAGAGTTTGCGTAATCACATTAAAAGTATGCAGCCTTTCTCCTTTCCTGATTAAAGACATTACTTCGCTTTCATTTAAAAATTTATTTTTCGAATCGATCTCATTTAATCAATAAGTAGTGGCAAGTAAAATTACAAAAATTTCACAATTATTTTTCTGCATTTAGTATACAGGGTGTATCTTAATAATAACGCCCACTAATTATATAGTGTTATCCTTTGTGAAAAGTCCTGAACCATTTTTTTTCTACAGTGCTAAATAAAATTATCACTACTACAGTAATTACTGCTTCATTAAGCATTGTAGATAAAAATAGTTCTTAAATAACGCTCACTAATCATGCGCTATTCCTTATAAAAAGTTGAATCAAAAAGTTCTGTACCATTTTTCTTTACAAAGTTCAATGAAGCAGTAATTACCGCAATAGTGATCGCTTCATTGAGCATTATAGAAAAAAAATCATTCAGGACTTTTCGATCCAGTTTTTTGCAAGGAATAACGCTATATAATTAATGAGCGGTATTTAAGATATATACCCTGTATATCTTTGAAAAAAAAAACACCGTAGCAGTCTATCAAATTACTTTCAAGAAGTATACGCGGGCAAAACAGATAAAATTGTAAATATTTATATATTTTGTTCCTCATATTTATGCTATTTTTATAAAAAGCCTATTAGTTGAAATAAAAATTTGTGTGCTGTGTCATCCAATAACAAAAAATATTTTTGAATTTAAAATATTTAAAAATCGAATGTCAACGTAGATAGTGTCGATGCGCAAATCCGCAAAACTCGAAACGCGAATAGATATTTCTCTTGCTTTCCAATATGAGATCATTTCCATACCTGGCACGTTCGTCTGTACACCAGCGAAGCAACGCGGTCCGAAAGCTTCATTTATTACTTCATATATCGAGTGTCGATCCGTCGACATCCTCGATCGTCTCGCGCGTCTTCGATTTCCTCTCGATCTGTCATTCGTTGTCGCGCCAGTGTTCGCCGTAAATGAGATCGATCGATCGTTCCGCTCGATAAATATGAAAAATATCCACCGCGGCCGTATGCTTGCAGCTAATGTCCCGAAGATCGAGGGATCCGAAGATGTTTAAGGAGCCGTGACTGTTCGAGTACTCGCAAACTTTGTGAAGGAAGTGAAGTGAATTGTACGGGATTGATGAAGAAAGTTTCATACAATTAAAGGGACAAGCGGCGTAAAGATGGCAGGTACATGAAGATACATTGTATTAAAATTTGTAAGAAGTTAACGAGCCTAACGAGATTCTGAAAAGGGGAAACTGGAGTTATTGTTGTGAAACAATGAGAAGACATCATTTGTACGCTTAATGAATATATACGGGTCTCGGGGGTAGGACGGGAGAAAGTGAGTGTAGAAAAGGAGAAAAAGGGATCGGACTGAGAGTCCGACAGGCGGGACAAAATGCGACTGATTAAAATGTGAGATGGAAATCTGATAACATAAAACAGAAAATAAAGAGAACTTAGCAAACAGATAGACACCAGTTAGACGAAGACGAGAAGGTTACCTTGTACGCATAAAAAACCGTGCAGAGTATAAAAGAAAGCAAAAAGGAGAGACATAGATAAAGAAGATTGGACAAGATTGCCGGAGGAAAACAATTACACACAGGTATTCTCGGAGGAAATAAAGAAAGCACATACCGATATACAGAGAGTTAAAGGTGGAGAAATCGATTCGTGGAAGATTTAGAACCGGAAGCGGTAAAGTGCGGAAATCTTGGCGAAAAGGGAAAAGGAAGATATTTGACAGAGGTGAGATTGATGTTGAAGGGAAAGTGGCCGAGGAGAAGCTAGATAAATGAACTCGCCGAGCGGAAAACTTCGCGAAAAGGCCAAAAGGACCAGCAAGGATACGCGGGGTTTAAGAATAACCGCGAGGAGAGGCGCATTCGAACCGGAGAATGAATAGGAGGAGGAAATGGATTAATGTGGCATTATCACGTGTTCTCAACTATAAGAAACGATAAATATATGCCCACGGTAGGAGTACATCGGATACATGACAAGATTTGCGAGAAGAAGAGAATTTACCAGGTTTACCTCGCTTATCTTTGTACTGTGAACGATGGCGAACGAACGTTCGCGGGTGGGCAACTTCGAAACGGCCGATTCGCTTTAAAAACGAGCACGTGCTCGCGTCGAGATCGTGCGGCACGTCGAAGGGATACATGGACGCGAAACGCATTCCGCCGATCGTATCGGCCACAAAGTGTTCGCGCGAGCGGTAAGCCGTTCCCGATCATCATCCGTTCTTAGCGATCGACAGTGCGACGCAGACGCGCGACAGACTCTGTCGAAGACACGCAGATTCCTTGAATTCGACCACGTGTTATACTGTGTTCAGGAATACAAGACGTCATAAGGCTCTTACAGAGGAGACTTAGGAAGTTAATAGGATAACCGCCATTATTTGTCCGGAGCATATTTTTACTGCCGAGCCACCGATTTGAGAGAAGCCAGGGTTTACGTCTTCGTCGTCGTATCATCATCGATCTCCAACGACAACGTCGGTATATATATATTATATATATATATCTTCGTTCTCACAGTGTAGTGCAATCCCTCGTTCTCGTCGATGCGGCGGGAACTTCGACGGAAGTGGCAGGGAGTGGAAGCGATACCGAAATCGAACGCGGGGTGCTGCCGCGCGGTCTACGGGTACCGTGGCGCGGGTACGTGGTGATCATCCCCCGTTGTGGGTCGCCTCGCGTTAGTGTCTTCCGCGACTCGGGGGGGGAGGTCGCGCCAAGGACTCGCCGTCGCAACATGGGCTGCGAACTTAGCAAACTGGCCACCACGAAATCGCGCAATCAAGCCGGAAACGATGGCTCGCCGCCGCCGCCGCCGCCGGCCGCCACGGATCCCCGACTTCCGCTCACGGCCAGGCAAAAATTTACGGTTATCGCTAGCTGGAAAGCGGTCTCCAGGGCACTGGAGCCCACGGGTATATACATGTTCATAAGGTACGTAGCCGGTGTTAACGCTGCCAAGGTTTTACGACTCTCCGGAGTGGCTCGCTGTAGAAAAACGTCGAACGAACGTACAACGCTAGGCGGTCAACGATTGTATCGTCGCGCGCGATAAACGAGAACATGATATAGCTATACGCGACCTAAACTCCAATGCAATTTTTCTTCGCTGCGTTAGTTTTGCGAAAGAAAATATTTTAACTTTGCTCTGTTTTATTCTTTTATTTTTTTGCGTTTGTTAACGCACACAATTTCCTAATAAAATTGTGTAGCCCTTGGCAACAATTCAATTGGACACAAAGAGCTCTTTGGATCTAATTGGACTTTATTGTCGAAAAATTTTGAGCATCTTTTTTGTAGTGCATAAACAAACGAGAATAATGTTGCTATTAGAAATATACGATATACTATTTTATTTTATCTCTCTTATTTTTCATATATTATATATAAATAGGATAATCATGTAAAAAAACGCTTTTCTTTTCTTTTTCTCTCTTGTTCGAGTAACACTTACAGATGCCAACGTTATATAAATTTATACAGTAAAAGCCGTGTTGTCACAACTGTAAGGTTATTGTAAGCTTTCCGCGCGGCAATAGCGCTCCATTACGGAGCATAACATTCTTGCGATTTCGCCGGGGATCAGCTTTGTCTCCCGACGATGTCTTTAGTGTCGGAAAGGGGGTGTCGCGCTGAATTTCGTAAGAAAATGATGGCACCCACATTTTCCGGAGTTGGGGCACGGTGTGTTTCGCCCGCGTCACGCGCCATTACGTGATTAGCTGAGCGTTTAGGCTCTTCAAGGCTGTCATCAACGTCAGACGCAACCCTGAGAGATACCCGTCGAGAGGTATCCTTATACCCCCTTCACGCCCGTTTTCACTGACGTTGCTTTGCACAGAGGAAACCTACCGATGGATCGTAAACCGGGTACCGTCCGTGTCATCGCTCGTGCATCGAACTGAGGGATAATCTTCCTTCTGGAGACCGTATTTGGATCGTACAAAGCTGTGATCGTACGCGCGGATTGAACGCGAGTGCGCAATTCTATGGACCATATAATTGAGGTCATTCAACCCTTAATATGACTTTTTATTATTTCACTTGCCGCTACAGAGACAATAACGAATGAGCGAAAGAAACTAGAATCGCATTTGCTACAGTTATTAGAATGAGATTGGAGCATTTATAATATTTTTTCCCTTTACTGTTGTAAAAGAGGGAAAAATATATACATCATTAAACAAAATAATTTTTTCTCGATAAAAACTTTTATGTTTTAATGATGCAAACATTTGTTAACTAATTTTAAGCCATTGTTTCTTTAAATTTAGACTGAATTCAATTTTTTACAATGAGAAAATTTGCAATTATTAATTATTTATAGAAAAAAATTAAAATTTTAAAACTAACGAAAAATTAATTATACGATCTACTATTTCTTATTCATGACGATAAATAAAGTATATTTTTATTATATTCACACAATAGAGAAAATAATGATATATTACATTTTAGAAGAAATTAACTCGCCAAATATTCAGCGAATAAGAAAGCTAAATTAGGTTGTCATGAATGTTGCAAATGACCCAGAATTAAGAAGCTTCCATAAATAACTGACCCAATACAATATAGATAAATTCTTCTTCTAAAGTGCTTCGAAATGAGACCATTTCGATAAAAACAAATTTAGTTTGCGCTGCGAAAATCTTCGCGGAGGACGCTCGATTCAAGTCCGCGAGAATTCATCGACATAATTAGTTCGCCCAAGCACTGACGTAAGATATCGGCGCTCGTGCCTGTTAATTTCCGTCAGAATTTGGGACGAGTCTCGAAAGTAGTCGACGAGTCGGCGTCGTGACAAGGGTCACCTGAAATATTGCAGAAGTGCCTTTGCCTAGGAGTATACCGTTGCACTGCCGCGAAAAAGCGCGGAGAGACTTCTTTCCCTCGATCGCGAGTTCAGCAAGCTACCTACCACAATTTGGCGGGATTCCAGTTCCGCGTTCGTTTCGTTCTATTTTCTCAGTAGACGAGAGACTTCCGTTGATTCTGTTGACTTTCGAAGGAAATAGGAAATGCCGATCGTATCGTCATGGAATTGCCGGTAAACGCTTTTTAACCCGCAGCTTGGGACTTTCCCCGCACGCTTGCGTTGGACATCGAGATTCGAATAAAATCGGGCCGACATCCCCTCGAGCGAATAGTATTTTCGGAATCTCTTTCCTAAATTTTTGGACAATCCCACTGTGCAATTTTTAATCTTTCAATAACAGTAGTTTTAGGAACGTACGTAGGTATAGCCGAGGTAAAAAATCCATTGAAAAATTGAATATTTTATTTATAATATCAGTCTTTCTCTACCTCTCTCTGATAGACTCGATTAATTTTAATCGAATTTAATCTTCTCTCTTGATTGTACTCTGAACTTTAATAATTTCAATTCGCCAAACACACTATTGATTTTTAGTGCTCCTTATAAAAATAAACATTCATATAAATCCCTTCTTTGTCATCCCGTTAAATTATCAGACTAACAACTTTGAAGTTACGAAAAAAAGAACATTTTACCTAAAGGGAATTATAACTGTATTCCTCATCGTGACACAATGCGCTACAGTACAGCCGATACTGCAGTATAGTGTCGACAAAGCGAATTCTCAGGAGTCCCGCGATAAGCGCTATTCTATAATGGGCTATAATCGGGATTCCAGAAGGTCTCTCTCGCTTTTAATTGAGGCATACGACCGGGG